TGAGAAACAACTATTCAAAGGAAAAGGCAAGTGGATGGGGAAAGGGGAAAAGAAGAAAGGGAAAACGAGGAATATATATGTATGTATATGTATATATATGTGTGTGTGTGTGTGTGTGTGTGTGTGTGTGGTATCACACACACACACACACAAGACAGTTAAGATAGTCATATAGCTAGCTTCTATGAGTTACTTGGAAAGAAAGTTTTGTGCTAACATTGTTTGAGCAATATATCGTGCTTATATCTTATACACTGAATAACTACTAGGAAGACAACAGTGCACAATGCATCAGCTATTGTAATTATCCTACTCTCCTGTCTTAAAACTCTGTTTCATTATGTTTACCTTTTTTCTCTTTAAATTAAAATAAATAAATGAATACATCCATCTGCTAGTTGACACATAGTTCACTTTGAAATTTTAGCAATTGTGAATTGTGCTTCAATATGCACAGATCACTATAATGTGAAATCTTTAGCTCTGAGGAAGATGCGTAGAAGGGAAACAGGTGAATTAGATGGAATTTCTACTTTTAGTTCAGTGAGAAATCTCCATACTGATATCCACAGTAATAGTACTACTTAACAATCCAACCAACAACGTAGGAGGCTAATTTTCCCCATAGAACTCACAGCATTTTGCTGTTATCAGTTATTTAATGGTACCAATTTTTTTCTGGACTAAGGTGGAATTGTATTGCTCTTTGGGTCAGCATTGCTCTAATGGAAAACAAACGAAGGAAAACATTTAAAGCTTCCTAGAATCAAATGACAATGAAAGCACCACAAAGCAATACCTACTGAACAGAATGAAATCAGTCCAAAGAGGAACTTTACAGCTATGGATGCACCAAGTTAAGCGACCATGGAGACCCCAAACACATAACCTCAGGCTGCATTCCAAGGGCCCAACAAAACAAAAACAATTCAAATGCAAAATTACTACAATGAAAGAAATTATAAAAGTCCAGAGTGGAAATTAGCAAAATTGAGATAACAAAAGCATAAATGATCAATGTATCAAATAGTTGGTCATGTAAAAGGATAGCAATTTCATAAATATTCATATAGCCAAACTTACCAAAACAAGGCGGAAAAAAACATAGCCTTGCAATTAGATACAGCAACAACAAAGGTGCACTCAAAACACACACCACCGAAGTCATAAGAAAGAACCTCAAAACCTTAGATTTGCATAAGCTGGAGACCATAGGAGAAGTGGAGAAATTCTTAGACATGTGTGAATTACCAAACTGAACTAAGAAGAGATAAAAAATACCTGAATAGGCCAGTAACAGACAATGAATTACAGGCAGAAATATAAACCCGATCATCTAAGAAAAATTCGGTTCCTAATAATCCACTGCTGAATTCGTCCAGAGGTTGAAGCTCTAAACCCCAGATGCCTCAGACTTTTCCATGATCGGCATAAGTTAAAATTCCTAATTTACTATGACTTCAGGGTCTTACACATAGAGATCAAACTGACAAACAAGTGTGGTATTGTCTTGTTCTTCTGGAATTCACCATGGAAAACAACAGCAAAGAGAGAGCTAGAAGACCTAGCAAGCCCACATGAGCAACTCCCTGTAAACAGCAAAACACGAGGAAGGCCTGCGGGAGACTGAAGAAGTGGAGCTGGTCCCTGTGTGTGCGTGGATAGGGGCAGGAAGCTGAGGGCTGCACAGGGAGCACAAGATAGCGTCAGCCAGGGGAAAGTTTTGAAACTCCTGCCCGTGTATCAGTGCACCTCGTATCAGAGATGCCAGTGACCTCTGCCTAACACCCGGTCAGTAGGAGATTCGAGACAGTCTGGGTACACCGACTGAGCTAACAAACATCAGAACCCACCCTAGTGGACAAGGAAGGGCTTTTGCAATCATTACCTTTTTAATGGAAGGCAAAGAATGTACTAGAAATAGAATAACAAGTAAAAAGCGAATCACAAGAAGTAATGGTGGATACCTTTTAACCAAACAAATATATGCAGTCTGTCTACAAACACGCAAAGCACAGTCTGGATGAATACCCACCTAAACACCCATCTGACAGCCATAGTACACACAGCTGTGTACTGCAATACATGCGCCATAGCGCTGTGAGCCTGGCGTGAGCAGTCTCCCGGACACCTCGCACACTTTCTCTTCCCATTGACATAAAGTCCACAGGGAAATTGGGTGGAGAGGCTGCAGAGCTTCCGGACTCTAAATGAGCACTGAAAGGCGAAACTCACGCTTGGGAATATGCCAAGTTAGACGCCAACACAGGAGCAGATCCGGCCCAAGGTGCCGTTCCCCACCCCACCCCCCGCATCAGCATCAGTCTTTTAGGAAGAAAAGTGCATGTGTGCACGGGAGTGGGGATGGGGATCCCAGATCTGACTCTGCTTGGGGAAGGCACCTCACTGCAGGGTGGAGCTGTTCTTGAGGACCAGGGAGCCACAACCCTGGGCTCCTCTGCCTGAGCCCCGAGGGCCAACCCTGAGAGCCCTGCACCATGACAGCCTGATCCCGCCACTCCCCTCCCCCGAAGGCCATCTCAGGACACCCTCAAAGGCCTAGGGAGGCAGACCGAGGTTGGGGGCGTGGGGAGGGACGAGGTCAGGCTCTGCTGGGAAGCAAAGGGAGACCCCGCGACGCTCGTGGATGTGACGCCCACCACCTGTCCGCTTTGAGGATCAGAGTCAGGCGAGGGTCACCTTCTGAGCTTCGGGCTCCAGCCAGGCCCTGGCCATCTTAGGTCCACCTGGGACCCAGAGCTGGACCAGGAATCTCAAGCTGCAGCCAAGGTTCCCGAGCAATCTGGATCTGCCTTCTGAGAGATGGCGGTGACAAAGCTCCCAGGACAAACCTGTAGGCATGAGCTGCTCCCGCTTCACGCGCAGTGGACCCTGGAGGCTGCAGCTTGGGAAGTGGGGAAGACTCGAGTCCATGGGGGACACGGATGGGAACTGGCCCGGAACCAAGGTGACAGCCCCTAGGGAGGAGGAAGGGGAGGATCCCGAGCGTCCCTTTCCGCTCCTGGTGTCACCCTGGGAGACCCCGGGCACCACGTGGCCGGATGTGACGTTGCAGGATCCCACACTGTGGAGGCGACGTGGCCGCTGATTTGGAGTTGAGGTGCGGAACTCCTCTGGGGGCGGCTGGAGAGCCAGGCTCAGTTTGTCGTCACTTTGCGGGGCTGGGGACACGTCCCACACACAGGGAGAGGGAAACACAGAGCGAGTGTGTACGAGGTGACGCCTCAGCCCTCTGAGGAAGAGAGTTCGAGTGATCCAGTGGGGACCTCTTTGACCTCAAAGCGACCCGGGCCAGGGAGTCAGAGCCAGGCTCTGAGGTCCGAGGGCCAGGCGGGAGGAGTGAAGGGGACCCGGGCTCCGAGAGGTGACGGTGGGGGCCGAGGGAGGACAGAGGAAGCCATGCGAGAGAAGGCCCCAGAACGTTCTAGAAAAGCCGCTGCTTCCTGCTACAGTTGAAGGTGATGACCTCTCAGAGGAGCGCCTCCTATATCCTCCCTGGGGGAACAGGACAGTCAGAGGCCTCTGGGGGCTTTGCTTGAAATCTCAGGGACAAACAGCACTGGCTCGTTAATGTGAAGGTGGGGGCCAAAGGAGGACCCAGGAAGCCACACCAACACAAAATAGCCCCAGAATATGCTAGAAAAGCCTCAGGCTGGAAATACGGCACATCTGCACAGCACTTGCCTAGAAGCCTGAGGTTGTGAGTTCGAGCACTGGTATCAAAATAATGAGAACAATAATAATAATAGAAGTAGTACCCAATATCTAGAAAAGCCTCCGCTTCATGGTGTACTCCAAGGTGCTCATGTCTCAGCAGAGCACCCCTATGCCCTCCCTGGGGCCTGACAGGTCAGTCAGAGGCTTGTGAGGGCCTTGATCTAAATCTTGGGGGCAGAGAGCACCTGGCTCCCTTAAATCCAGGTGAGGGCCGTTGGAGGACAGAGGAATCTGTGCCCTAGAGAGACGGCCCCCAGAACCCCAGATCAGCCACTCTGGTCAGCTCTGCACAGTGGAGGGCAGCGCCCTCCTCACTTCCCTGGGGCCTGAGAGAGTTGGAGCCCTGTCCTGGGGTCTGGGGTTGTGATGATGGAGCTGAGAAGCTCAGGCTCTTTTAGGTCCCGGGGAGCTGCTGAGGGCAGAGTGAGGAAGCCTCTCACCAGGAGCAGGGTCCCACAGTAACGCTGCTGCTTTGCTTCTGTGGTCAGTGGTCGGGCCCCAGAGCTGATTCGCCAGCGACTTCACCATCTCCTGGCTTGGACCGAGGAGAGCCGAGCGACAGGTGCGGGAAGGAGACCAGCTCACGGCAGACCTCAGGCCACCTGGAGTCGGAGCCTTGGTGTGATCTGGTGCACTCAGGTAGCAGGGGTGGGGCGTGTGCCTGTGCCAGGATCACAGGTGAGCACCCAGAGGGAGGAAGGAGGGTGCCTCACCCTCAGAGGCGCATCTTGGGGAGGATCTGTGCCCCAGGGTTCAGCCTGGCAAGCACTGGGCGCAATGCCCCAAGGTGCAGCCCCATAACTTGTCCATGTGGGCTCTGAGCCAAGTGTGACTGTGGCTCACAGAGGAGGGGGCCTTTGTCTCAGGACTCTGAATTCTCCCAGAAGCCTGGTCATTACTGAATCCAGGAAAGCCTCGTGCTCAGTGCCCAGGCTGGTGATTCCCGGCTCACAGGCTAGTCTGGGGGACTTCATAGATGAGGCATGCCCTGAGCAGAGGGTGGGAACCAAGGTATGCCCCGGGCTGGAGCAAGAATGAGGCGGGCCTGAGGGGCTGAGGACCATGGGACCAAGCTGCCTGTGTTTGGAAACTAGTGACATTCCCAATTTTAACTGAATCTGAGGGAGGAAGATGCAGATAGTCCTAGGGATGGGCTCCTTCCAGGACTCAAGGGCAGGACTTAGGGGGAGGGCTCTTGAGGTGACCTTGCTGTCTCAATCAGAGGGCTGCCACAGCCTTTTAGCCAGCTGGGTCTGGGGGCAGCAGTGCACCTGCGTACTTGATTCTTACTGACACAGAGGAGAGGGCCATGGTCTTAACAGTGTAGCTTCAGGTCACCAACTCAAGGTCTTGAGAAGCCTGGTGCTGCTTAGCTGCAGGCTGTACCTCGTGAAAGTTACCTCCCCCAGCTTCGAGCTCTGGCCTCACAGGAAAGTGGTGGCTGGGATTGAAGATCCATGGGCTGCTGGTCAGCGGAGGGGGAGGGGGAGCCCCTGGGCAAGCTCCAGACAAAGGAGGATGTGGATTCTGCTCTCTGTCAGCCTGGGGAGACCCATGCAGGGGTGTCCGGAACAGTTGTCCCTTCACTTCCGTCTCCTTGCTCTCAGGGACATCACCCTTTGGTGTGAGGACTACCACCAGGTCAGAAGCAGTGTGACATTTGGTGTGCAGAAGGTGGAGACCAGAAGCTGCCTGGAATCAAGGGGTGAACATTTGGTGAGCACGTAAGGTATGAACGATCTCACATCCCCAAAATGAGGGGACCTCCACAGGGGCTGGCATCACCTGCTGCCAGCCTTAGGGCCCAGGTGTCGCAGGCATCGTTGGGAGTTTAGATAAGAGCAGAGGACCCCCTTACCCATGCCTAGAGGCCTCCAGCCTCAACCTGTCTCTGTTGTCACCTGCCATGCCATCATGTACAGTGCGAGTGTCTCACAGAGACCGGGCACTCATTTAAAGAAGGTGGCTTCAGCTCATTGCAGGAGCATTTGGGTACCAAGCATCAAAACCAGGACCGAGCATGATACCCCGTCTGAGGGTTCATGAACCCCTCACCTGAGCAGGCCTTCCTGGTGCCCCGGCAGGTGTGGTCAGACATGGGTCCCCTCACTTACGTCCGTTCTCTCGCAGGGAGGCCGCCCCTTGTTCTGAGAGTCTCCCTCAGGCTAGCAGTGGGCTAGTGGCCCAGCCCTGCCCAGGCCTGTTGAGGTTCAGAAGCCTCAGGCCAGTTGAGACTCCTGAGTGAACAGAGAGGGGAACAAGCACCAGAAACACTTGTGAGCTCCCAAGGCCCACCCCGCTTCCTGTGGGGGCAGAGGCCCACGCCAGTGGCTGGGGCCTGGGGACCCCATTATGCCTCTTCTGGCAGCTTCTGAAGGACCTAGTTGTGAGGCAGCACCCCAGATCACACAGCCCAGGAGTGCAGGCAGTGTCCGCTGGCAAGGTGAAGCAGCAGTGCCCCCAGTGTGCACCAAGTGCCCCACCCACCCCAAGCAGAGGGACCCCAAGGCGCCTGCCACCTTCACCCTGCTGTGTCCCAGGATCCTCATCCTCTGTGGGCCAGCTTCACCCAGTGAGCGCCCTCACTTCCCGTGCCCTCCATCCAGGAGGACGGAGGCTTCAAGGCCCTAGAGCACAGCCCGGAGAGGGACCCCAACTCAGGCTTTGTGAGAGCTGCCAAGGGGGGCGTTCTCAGTGGGGTTCTCTCCCCCAGGCCTCTGAGGCGCTGTCACTGAGCTCCTGCCCACAGTCCCGTACCAGAGTCATTATGTCTGGATCCATGGAGCCACACCAGCTGGAGGAAGAACCCAAGGATGAAAGTGAGACCCTGGGCTTGGGGGTGGGCAGGTTCCCCGGGCGGCCTCGGAGAAGGCCCCCTCCTGGCTGCCCTCTCATTGCCTTCCCTCCTGCCATCTTCTTCTGTTTCGTGATCCCAGGCAGCATGGAGGAGGTTCTTAGTCCTGAAAAGCTGGCTCTTCCTCAGGATCCAGAGGGCAGCTCCTTGCCCCTCACCGCCAGGGCCGCCACCCCATCAAGCCAATCCGATGAGGGCTCCATCATTTCTGGAGAGGAGAGTGTGTTCCCCTCGGAGGTACTGCCCGTCGTGGAGTCCTTGATGGGTTATCCCATTCAGGGTAAGGTGGCTGATTTGCTGGCATTCTTGTTCTTTAAGTATCGAAAGAAGGAAATGACCAGCCAGGCAGAAATGCTGCAGGGTTTGTTCCAGGGCTGTGAGGAGAACTTTCCTGAGGTCTTCTCGATGGTCAGTGAGTGCCTGTATGTGGTCTTTGGCATTGATGTGAAGAAAGTCAGCCCCACAAGCCATTGCTATGTGCTCATACCTGCCCTGGGCCTCTCCTTTGATGGGATGCTGGATGAAATGCCAAGCTTTCCCAGGACCACAGTTCTGCTCATTATCCTGGGTGTCATCTACATTCGGGGCAACCATGCCAGTGAGGAGGCCATCTGGGAGGTGCTGGGTGAGATAGGGGTGTTTCCTGGGATTGAGCATGTCATCTATGGGGAGCCCTGGAAATTTGTCACCCAGACTTTGGTCATCGAGCACTACCTGGAGTATCGGCAGGTGCCTGACAGTGACCCTCCTGAGTATGGGTTTGTGTGGGGCCCTCGGGCCCTCGTGGAAACCACCAAGCTGAGTGTCCTGGAGTTTTTGGCTAGGGTCAAAGACACCGTCCCCAGTTCCTTTAATGTCTGGTATGAGGCAGCTTTGAGGGAGGAAGAGGAGAAGTTCCAACCGCCAGACCTACCTTTGTGATGATAACTAGGGCCAGTGCCCGGGCCAGTGACAGGGCCACATCCAGTAGCTGCTCCTGTCCTGTGTCGTCTGTGAGGAAGATGCTTCCGTCTGTGTTTGAGAAGAGCTGTCAGTTATGTGAACGAAATGTGTAATGTATTTGCATATCTGTTCCTGTGCATTTTTTCACATGTTCATTTAGTAGATTTAATTCAATTTTCAATGTTTCAATGGCACTCACCACACATACTTACACATTTTACAAGTTTGGCTGTTTTGCAGAACAAATGGTGAAATCTTTCACTCTGTTCTGTGATTTGGAACCAGATCATTTGTCACTGGAACCAAAACTTTCTCAGAAATGTAAAAGAGGTGATCAGTAAAATAGGTGTGGACCGTAGGTGAAAAAGGTTTGTTCTTTATCCTTTGTTGCTCTGTAAAATGGTAAAAAAGTATGCTGTAAGTGCTGGGCTTATTGCAATGTATTGGAGAAACTGAATCTCAATAAACAATCCCATTGCTGCAACCTGGTGCACTGCCTCCCAGAGCTTCGCTGAGCAGGGGCCCTGTCTCCTGCCTCTGTGGTTTAGGCGAGTGAGCTAGGTGAGCAGGACCCACCCTGCCCAGGGGATGGTGCAGTCTGCGGCAGCACCCAGGGCAGAGAGACAGAAGGAGAGATGCTCCCAAGGCCTGAAAGAACGAGGAAGGCAGAGGTGAGCGGGTGGAGAGCAGTGCAGGGAGGACATGGAGCCAGGGCACTTGGGGCTTCCGGGAAACTGCAGCTTCTTCTGTGGGAGCTGATTTCAGTGTAACTGTGCGCTAGCCGGGGTCAGACATTCGGTTTTATTATTTTGGCTCTGAAAAGGGAAAACTGTTCTCAGTGGATTTTTGTGCTTCAGAGATAAGCCAGGAATGCAGCGAAGATATGAGATGTGTCCTGAACGCTATCCTAGCACAGCCGGTCACCTAACCCGTCAACATAGAGGGTTTCGGGGCCTTGGGGGATATGCCCAGAAAATTACAGACTGACGCACTTTCTTGGCCTGACAAAACCAGAGCAAAGTCCACTGGAGCATTATACTTAGGCTACCTTTAGTGCTATTTGGACAGCTCTAAAAAGCCCTAGGTTCTGGGTGGGGGAGAACTAAATGAAAACAGTGGTCTGATTGGGAAAGCAGCCCAGAGGGACAGGAGCTGCTCCTTCCCTCACAGTCTAGGAGCAGAGCTGCATCCCCTGGGGAAGACTCCTCCACAGCCTGCTTTGGTGGCATGTCCTCTGAGAGGGAGGAGTGGCTGAATTTTACTCATGAACGTCCCCGTTTCGGCCCATGTGCTCTCCCCGTGGTGCCCTGTAGGGTGGCACAGCCTCCGCCGCGTCCTGGGGAGCAAAGAGTGACATCCCAAGGGCTAGTGCTAGGGGTGGGGTCAAATCCCACTACAGGTGACAGCCTCCTGCCATTCAGTGTGGTCACAACTCTGCCAGGCACTCGCAGTGCACCCCTTCCAGCAGCCCTACTGGACAGCCCGGATTGGCTTCACAGGTGAACAGGGCCCGTCTCCCGGGGCTGGGAATTTCCCTGGAGGCTGGCTGCTGAGTGACAGGGCTGGGACAAGTTCCCCTGTGTGAGTAGACCCGGAGGCTAGCACTGGGCTCACTCTTCCCTACCCGGGACCCACTTCAACCCATAATTTATTAGTGCTGTGCAGTGTCTCTTAGGTGACAAAAGGACCCTCAGCTGTTAGAAGAATATCTGGAGCCTATCCCTGGTCTCCCTGCTCACAAATCATTTTGAAGCACAGGAGAGTGTGTGGCATATCCACAAGAAGAGATCTGGAGAGGGACTCAAGCAGGGGACATCTGTGGTTGACGCCTTGGGAGCCGACCTATGCCCAGATGTGGGCCCTGCTGTCCAGCGCCAGCACTTTCCTACTGTAAGACCCTTCCCTGGGTTGTCCCCCATGTGCCCTCCCTGCCAGCTCTGACACCTAGCTTGCTTCTATGCCCTTTCCTGCTGCCTCTCATAGAGGCTGCACCGAATGCCCTGTCCTCCCCGTGACACAGAGCATCCCCATCCCTCTCATGAGTCCCTGGCCCTGGACAGCTCATCCTTGGTCCTTTCTGAGAGCCATAGTCTTGGTCAGAGAAGTTTACCCCAGGACTGTGATTTTAGACACAGGGGCATCCCTAGCTGGGAGTTATCTCATTATTTTCCCAGCAGGACTTGAGTCCTCTTTGACTTGGCTGACAATCTACTGACTCCTGAGTTAGAACCTTCAGGGCAAAGGGCGGGCTCTCATAACTGTTCCACTATTTGCATAGGATTTGATTGAGCTTCTTATGTGAAGCTGGAAAGCGAACACATGAACAGATAAACTCCATTCTGTGTCACAACCCAAAGCTCTTCCCTCAGCGAGGAGCCACCAATGCCAGCAGCTGAACTAGAGACCACACCGTCCTCCAGCGTGCTGAGCAGTAGCTCCTTCCTAGACAGGCTGGTGCAAATGAGAAGAGGAAAAATAGTTTGCCGTCCTTCCTGCACCTCCTGCCTGGTACCTGCTCCTCAGGAAAACCCTGGCTTCCAGAGTGAGGGTGCACCTGTGCAGGTCCTGAGGTGGAGAGGGCCATGTGGCAGGGAACAGAGACCCACAGGTTGAGACTCTGGGCCTCAGGCAAAGGGGGGGGGGGATCCCCATGCTGGGAAGACAGAGTAAGGCAAAGGTAAGTCAGAAAACTACCACAGCGGGACGAGGGGACCCCTCTCTGCTGGCTCTTACATGATCCCTTTAATCAGATGGGATCTCGGAGGATTTCAAAGCATGAGAGTTCAGAGAATTCCCAGGCACATCTGGTCTTCTGGGAAGCATCTCCAAGAAATGAGGAGTGGCGCTGCCTCACACAGGACACTGAGTGCTTTTCCCTGAGTGCCTGCTCGGTGATGGCTCATGGGAGACGGGACAGGCAGCCACCTGCAAGTTCTGCTGACCCTCCTGGGCAGAGTGGAGCAGGACAGGCCCTTCAATTAGGAAGAGGCGTGCACCATGTCCCTGCAATGAAGCCTTTGGAAGTGTGGCATCCCAGCACATCAGAGCCAGCGTGCATCCTGTGCCTTCCTCCTTTCCACAAGGAGGGCAGCTCCTGGTTCCAGGAGGGGGCCACAGGTCAGGAGCAGCCAGGATCCCTGGAGCTCTGAGAGCAGGTTTGGGGGGAGGCTGCAGAGCCACCTGGAATTTGTTTATACACAGAGCAAACAGTCATGATATCAGGCTATTCCAACTCCAGGTTTGGTCTGGTGGATCAGGTTGCAGTTCAGTATTTAAATTACAATTCTTCCTGCAAAAATTTAACTGTGCAGGTGTATCTTAAGTTCTTCTTTCCAAATTCCTCTCCTGTTCACAGATCACCACAGTGATTAATGTAGTGGCTCTGACTTTCAAGCTAATTTTATGCTTTTCTCATGTACAGATATACTATTAAAATGTATTGATCATGTTAACATACATGCATGCGAGGACTCAGCCTAGCTGTGTCCGCCTGACTGGCTTGGGAGCCACCTGGGGGTGTAGTGAGCACTCTTCCAGATAGTGCAGGCACGGACTTGGGATAAATAAATAAGATACATATTAATGTTCATTCCCTCACCTCTTGCTCTGGCTCTGCTCCCAACCACCACGAAATCAACATCGTGCTTCTCCTTGCCTTTGTCTATGATATTCCTCTTTGCAGCCCAGTGAGCTACAAAGTCCCTGAAGTCCATCAGGATAGCAGACCTCTCCTCTTTGAAATGTGGGTGTTTGTCCGTGTGTCCCAGCAACAGGATGAAGGACTGACACAAGGGGTAATGGCATAGGCATGAACTGACACTTCCCTGTGACACCTAACACCATGGATTCGGGATTGTCCTGTGGCAGCTCATGTGGCCCTAGCTTGATTGTGCAAGTACTCTCCAGAATCCTTTGCTGAGCAGGAACGCCAGACACCCCACTCTCTCTTAGGGGCCCTCTGTCTCTTAGCAAGAACACAGGTGGCCCCTTATTCCTTCTGAGCCCCTCCTGACCACTCGAATGTCCCAGTGTCCCCTGAACCTGATATAAGGCATCCAAGTGTCAAAAGTGACCAAAAGGTCTTTTTACAGACACATGAACTGCTCTCTATTTGCTGTTATCAATATTAGAACTTAAACCAATGACTTGGAACATGAGTTCTCGTGGAAATCTACATCTTCACATCTAAGAAGTTCACAACATAGACATTGAGTGGGAGTGGGAAGTATAAGGTAGATTAATTTTATGAATATTTACCAAACTCTCATTAAAAAATGCTATTTGGCTTGAGGTCTCATAAAAGTCACATAGCATATGAATTTCCCAACTGTAAGCAGAACCTTCCCCATTGACTTCTGAGTGGAAAATCCTCTCTGGAAAGATCAGGAAGGCTGAAGAGAAAGCACATGGTGACCCTCAACACAAGGTCCTTTGGGGCACCTGGAGGACAGTACCTTGCAGCATGGGTGCGAGAGCCCTGTCAGGCCCCTCCCACTGCTGACAGACAGGGGCTTGGGGACTGGCTTAGTGAGCAGGGGGAGCAGTGCCAGGTAGCTCAGGTTTCAAAGGGTTCTTTCCATGGCTGCTTGGCTGCAGGGCAGAGATGGAGGAGCAAAGCTGCACCCTCCCTGGCAGTCAGGGAGGAGAGAGGGGGAAAGGAGAAGACCTGGAGGCAGAGGCCCCAGTGCCCCCCAGGGCACACTCTTCCCACAGGCCCCACCCCTGCCCGCATTCTGAGCTCTAAACTCCTTGTTGGCTCTGTCAGCTGACAGGCAGTGCACACTCAGGCTCCACCTGGTGCAGAATTTCCAGGCACCTGGAGAGACCAGGGGGGCTTTTCCGGGAGGACTTTAATGGTGCACAAACAGCCCAAGCCCCTAGCAATGCTGGATGCTAGCCTGGGCCCCACGCAAGGAGAGGCTTCTGTCTGGTTCCTGAGGTCCAGCAAGCAGAGCTAGGAGTGAACTGGAGGCCCTGAGTCATCCTAGGGGCTAAACCTCTCTTGGCCTGGGAAGAAAACCCCTCCTGTGCCTCTCAGGATATCAGGACGCTGGGAAGCCTGTTGATCACCCCCGTGGT